CGGTTGTGAAGTCTCTGCTCTTGGCACAGGTACACGCCAAGAGGGGAAGTCTTGATCATTTTTTGATGTCCCAGTCCTCTGAAATGTGGTTTTCTACAGGTATATGGGATCATGCAGGCACAATCTGATAAGAGGGGAAAAGGTGCTAAGGAAGCAATGTAGGTAGCTGTACAGGAGAGGGCAGAGGCTCTTTCTTCAAGGATGTGGGCAAAGCACTGTCTGCAGGAGTCACTGGAGCCTGTGGGGAGGAGAAGCTGTATTAGTTGCCAGACAGAGGAATGCTTCTCTTGTCAACCCACGGAGCCTCTCTGACTACAGCTACTACTTCCGCTTGTGTGGTACCGTTTCTAAAATAACCCCAAATAGGATGTATTTTTTGTTGTTGTCCTCCGGAGCTTCCTCTCCAAATTACCAGGGACTGTTTAGGCTCCTGCCTCCAGAAACTTGCTGGTGGCATGTGAGCTGGATGCTTTTCCCTACCAGGGCACACTTGACATGTCAGCATGATTCAGCACTGCCTACCCTAACAGCCACCTTCTCATGCACTCTACTCATCAACACACTAGTGATACACCATCTGTCTAGAGAGCTTAGTGATGTTCAAAATTCCCTTCTCTCCATGGCCTGCTCATTTCAGAAGTGACTTTTGTCACCTAGAAGGATTAGCTATTGTCAGACTCCTCTGCACATGCTGAGCCCTGAGATGGTGCCACCTTGGCATATGAGCTGCTGTTGCCTCAGTGATGATTTCGTTTCTCTGGCTGCAAAGAGCAGAATCGTACAGGGATGAGTCAGCAGACTAAACACCCAGGGCCAGATCTCAAAACAGATAAATGCCAAGTACTGGCATTTACCATCTCCTAATACCACAGTACCCAAAACCTTGTGTCTTGTGACCACCAGAACCTGAACATTCAACTCCTTCAAAAGTACCGCTGTTCAAAGATGGCCACCCCAATTCTGACCCGGTCCCAGAAACAGCAAGAGCCCAAACATAGGTACTTAGAGCCATTTTGGCCACCAAGGACACCCCAGGTATCTGCATAGAGCTAACAGGACTTACCTGAGCTCTCCTGGGAGACGATCTGAAGGGATGGCAGAACACCCCATGGTACCAGATGCTGGCATTGAGGCAACTGAATCTCTAGCTGGCCCTGCTATAGAATTACAGTATTGTAAGAACATTTGAAGTTAAAAACCAGTTTGTTTGGGCCAGTCCAAAGGTCTGCTGGCTCAATCTCCTAATCT